CGCTTAAGGGTTTTGGCTCTAACGCTTTAAAGGTACTTGCTTTCAATTTTCTGATTTGTTTTCTGTAAATTTTTCGTCTGATTCGTTGCTCTGTTTTTTTGTTCATGTTTTTGATTGAATGTAACCTTAAAATCTTGACCCAGATTTTTGTTATCTGTTATGTTTACGAATCATAACGATTTACTGATCAAAACGTTTTGTTCTTGCAGCTTTCGTGAACACAAATCTAATCTTCATCATCGGAGAAGGAAAAGTTTCAGACTTTACGAGATCAATCTGATTTTGTCTGCATCTCGAGTTTCTGGGTAATTTCATTATCAGGGTTTATCAACCAAGAAGCTAAATTGACATAAACAAACAAAAAGCTCTTTGCTTTTTTCAGATCAAACAAAAAAAGTCCCTTCTTTTAGATGATTCGTGAAATCTCCAGTCTACAAAAAGACATAATAAACATCCATTGTTCAAGCAACAAGGACAAAATCATGGACATGAGAAGAGATAACAAGAGTTTTCATGGATCTACTACTCAAGCTCAAATGATGAGTGGTGGTAATAAGTTTCGGACATTGTCGTCGTCTCAGAACAGTCCGAGGAGGCTAATATCAGCGAGTTACTTGAGTTTAGAGTCAATGTTTGTGCTTATTGGTCTCACAGCATCACTCTTGATCTTGCCATTGATTCTTCCTCCATTGCCTCCTCCTCCATTTATGCTGCTTTTGATTCCTATTGGGATTATGGTTTTGCTTATGGTTCTTGCTTTCATGCCTTCTTCTAATTCCAAACATGTATCTTCTTCCACTTACATGTAAAACGTTTCTTTAAATTGAAGAAATCCAGGTTTTGTCTTTAAGTCATCATATATGATTTTGTATAACTATTTCATTTGAAAAACTTGTTTATGGTCAGAGACACAAGTAAGACAATATACAGTATATTTGTTTTGTTTATAGATGAAATAATATATAAAAGGTTTTTGACATTCTCAAAACTTGGATCCGGATCCAAACTTGTATTGATGGTTTTTTTCAGTTCTTATTTAAAGAAAACGGGTAATAACTCAGATGCTGGATCCATTGTTGCTTATTGTGAAGAAGCTTTGACTAAAAAAAGAGGAAGGTGATGCTCCAATACGGCTGTGAGCTGATGACCTTTGTTTACTTCTTGTCAAAACCTTGAAGCTGTTTTGCAGCTTCTACGAGCTGTCCTCTTAGCTTTTGTGTGAGTAACCTTCCACCCGCCTTCACACACTCTCTGTACAGCGGCATGTATGCGATTGCAACCCTCAATGGCGCTGGGAGATCCTTTAAACGTATTGCAGACTCGTCGATTTTCAATACCCTCATGAAGTTTTCGCGGCTTTCCCTCAATCCTTGGTTGAATGTAGTTCTAGATTTATTGATCCTAGATTTAGGGAATTAAAACTAACTTCAAAACGTCAAAGAAAAAAATGCAAAATATTTCACCATGTGACATCGACGTCTGGGTATGTGCATTTTCGAACCAAGTGAGCTGTGGGTGTTTAATCGAACATTGAAACAAACGAAAACATTATGTTCATATAGGTTTTCCGTTTCTAATAATAAAATTGTAGGATTCAAAAAAAACAAAATGTGTTTTTTCGAAAAACACTTCAAAAAACATATTAAAAAAACGTTTTTGAAAATAAATACCGAATAAAATGTTTTTGGAAAGTAAATAACTAAAAATTTAATGGTCCTAGATTTAGGAGATTAAAACTAACTTTGGTAGAATATACTTTCTACCATTTGGTACAAGATAGAGAAAGAGGTAGATCAAAAGGGTATAATATTCTGCGTACCGTAGAAGACAATGTCATTGGTAGAAATAACATTCTGCGATATGTAGAAATTGAGCAATCGGTAGAATACTTCTTTCTACTAGTCTTAGATTTATATAAATTCGCAGAACACCTAATCTACTAGTAGATTCGACCATGGTAGAAGGAAAAATAAATAATTTTCTATCATAGTTTTTTTTTTAAAAAAATATAAACATGAATCTATATAACTTGTACATTACTCTTTTATATTTTTCTGATTTTATAAAATTATAAAAACCATTTATTTGTAATTTTGAATATTAATCAAAGGATAATTTAGGAAAAAGTTTGTACAAAAAAGACAAAGGTTATTGGGACAAAACCAATTTCATTGTGAGTTAATTTAGCAAATTTCCCAATAACTAACACAAATTGGTTTGCAATTTTTATTTATTTCCGAACCATCAAGAAAACCAACACAAATTGGTTTTTTGTTTGTTTAACAACATGGTGTTGTTAACGAAACAATAATAACAATCTTAATAATTTAGTCATATTTTTTTAAGTTTCTCTAATGATTTTTTTAAAAACATTTTCTAGTTATTTATGAAGGCTCTTCTGAATCAGTAATCTTTTTAAGAGATAGCTAATTGCGTTTATTTTACATTTACTTACAAGTCTACTTTTATACTGAAAATCTTTAATCACATATACTTGGTATATGTACTATATGCATTAATTATATACATTTGATCATGTTCAAGATCTAAACAAATGAAGAGAAAGAAAATCCATCAGAAAAACGCTAGAGTATATAGAAAAGAAATTAACAATTTATTGAATTCTGGAAAGCAGAATACGTATTCTAAATTTTGCAGAATGTAATCGAACAATATATTCAATTTCCTAAACTGCATGATTCATATAAAAGATTTCAAATATTTAGTTTTCTTAATTTCTGACATTCTACAATAAATTATAAATGATTTTCTAAAATATTC